TGCTGAGCCAGAGCCTGCTGCTGGTGCTGGGCAGCTGGGGGACCAAACCCAGACCCAGCAAGACAGCCTGTATCTCCCATGCAAGACTAGGATCAAGACGGAGGACGATTTCTTGTGATGACGAATATACCTTACACAGAGATGGAGTGGACAAACAAACAAAGAAAAAAAAACAATGCGGACTGGCAAACCTCTGAGGGAGAAAGCCAGTCGGGTTAAAGCAGAAACAAATCAAATAATAAAGGTTAATTAGGTTATGAATACTTATAAGAATCTGAATTAAAAATTTACCGGTTACTTTACTTTAGGGATCGCAATTCTCACACATGCTTTCACGACGAACGCAACTGTCTTTCTCCATAAACATATGATGAAACACATGCGTATTACGGAAAATCTTCCACTTCCTTGGAATCTTGTATCGAGCTCTTGGTGAAGAAAATATCCCTCGAAAAATACGCACAGCAGGAATTCGTCGGCTGTGACAATACCTGCTGAGGGGATAAAGTCAGTTGCGTTCGTTTTGAGCCGTGAGGTGTATGGAGGACGACTCCACTTCCTCAAAAAGCAGACAAAACAACATCTTGATCTTGATCTTCTACTAGCTGACGGCGTGTTCCACCAGAGGCGATTCTCGCNAGGCTGAGACTTCAGTTGGCTAAGGTGGTTTTCCATCCTGGGATGAAAACCCTCAAATGTATCATCATCCACAAGCAAGGCTCTAACATCATTATCAATATTGCTAGGTGGAGCTGTATCAATTAGGCTGAGAGAGGGCATTTGAGACCAGGTAGGCGTTACATGATTTGGTGAATTACTAGGTACAGTCTGTACAGAGTTGATCTCAGAGGCATCAGAAGATTCTGATACCGAGTCTCCTTCACTCCTTGGTACTTTTTTTTACGTTTCAGCCTTCCAGTAGGCATTGTAACAGTTTGTTTTTAAATTATTCAAATTTTGATTTGTTCAAAGACTAGACGAAGCAAAATCGAGGAACCAACGATCAAGAGCGCAGTCAATCTACTGAATATTTTGACAAAATTCAGCATGGCCAACAACTGCAGAATTGCGGATCCATGTGACATGCCGGCTTGAGGTCGGAAGATCATTTTAAAAGTTTACAAATTAGTTATTGATTAGAATCAATATAGAACATAAGTATCATATATTTAATTTTATTTATCAGTGAATCAATTCTCAGCAAGCAATTTGAGAGTACGAATGTCCTAACAGTGGTAAATTTTTGAAAATCAAAGTGACAGTGTTAACAGAAATCCATGTTTCAGAAACATTCTCCAGTGGTGATCTTGTAGTTAAGCGTGCACTCCGGCCTCCGCTGTTGTCTTTGGTGCAGGCACCAGGAAGTATTGCTTAATCGTTACTCCAAGCATATAGCCAGTATAATATAGGCTTAACGTAATTTTGAAGGCTCTCGTACTTATAAATAAATATTCTCAGTCATAGATTATGTATTTTTGCCACAATTTTATCAGAGTTTTCCTTGCCAATAATATTTTAAAGTTGTCTTAATTTTGTTTTTGATCATTTTTTCATTCATAATTAATGATAATTTGGACTGTCAGCTGTCTCAAGTCTCAATGTCTCATCATCTAATGATCTAGCTATGATCTCTCACGATTCGTTAATTTCTTATGCATAATGTTGGTTATAAAATTGAGTAAAAATTTAGCATAACCATAAGCATTTTTTTTGTAGGCTATGGACAATAAGGCCTATCTATTTTCCTAGTCTCAAATGAATGTCAATTACTAGCCAGGCCTAAATTTATAGATTTTCATTCAAATATAGATTCAGAAATCATGAATTTATGGATATTTAGAGCATAGAGTCTATTTTTAAAGCTGCTTGGTCCAGAGAGTAGAGTCTATTTTCAAAGCTGTCTATATATAAAGCCTAATCCCTTTTTCACCCAAGGAAAGCCATAGTGAGGTGCAAACTTATTTTATATTTGCCAAGACATGCATCATGCATGCTCTGATGCTCACTGCTCAGCAGCATGCATTTGCCTAATAAGCCTAATTTGTGATTTTACCTTAGATTGCTTAGAAATATCAACAAGAACATTGCTGTTTACTTTAGAGTTTAGACTGCACAGCTGAACTAATTAAGCTTGTGCCTTGTGGACTTGTGATTGTGACAGGTTTTTTCTTCTGTTGAGGAAACAATGCAGTTTTATGAGATAGTATACTATTAGAGCAAGTAGAATTTTTCAATCCCAATTGGAACAGAATTCAACTTCAGAATATGTAAAAATTTGCCCCCATTCAACTTAGGAATATGTAAAAATTTGCCCAGGGAGAATTTGAAAGTTGATCATGTAATATGTACATATTGAAAAAGAAATAATTATGTCAATTCTGTCTTTAATTAATAAATTTCCCCTATTACAAAAATGTCATGGCCTCAAATTGACAATCAATATATTTGTAATCTCACGGCCTGATTGTGCACTTCTATTAACAATTAGATATGAGATAATTCCACTGTGCAGATAGTGGATGAATATTGCAAGATCTTTGGTGACGTTTCAGTAGCAAAATTTACGCCTTCAGATGATCTTGCTGACACATTTAGATTGTAATTCTTGCATTTAATATATTTGTCAGTCTTTGGCCAACTATTTAGAAAAAAGTAAGGTTTCCGGACGTTGGATGGATCAGGATGCAGTAAAGCTTGTCAGGAAATCGGTTGCGATGATTTCTCGCCAATAAAAATGTAAACAAAATGTAGTTGCGGTCACATTAGAGCGATCAGACTGCATCATCACATGTTCAGTTGACACTTGCTGTACAATTGGACTGTTTTTAGGGTAAAATTAGCTATTTGGGGTAACACGTGCATGCAACCTTGTTAATAAGTTCGTGGCTTGTAAATAGTTTTTCATTACTCAGCGTAAATGGCTTTTCATTAAAAATTACCCAGCAACACATCTTGAAAATGGTTGGCGATGCTTTGGGCTTTAAAACCCCATATATTGGCGATGCTGCTTCCACCTTACACACCCTGGAGATAATTCATGTAGCAGTAATCTAGCAGTTCCAAAAATGGCAGGTATGTTGTAGCGCAGCTCAATAAGTTATGCCACTCCTGAGAACAGGTCAGGTGCACTTTCCACTTTGGTATATTAAGGCTTGTAGTCAGAATGCAGCAAAATTTGAGAGCGAGGTTTTCGCAACCATCGTGTAAAATCCTTGATCTGTCCAAAGCTTGGCCAGTCGCTACCCTTGAGCTTGTACTCTTTGTAATATGATATCCTAGCCAGCTCCTTTCAGGCAGCCGAGGAATGGCCAACGGTTGCTATAACTAATTGGACTAGGCTGACCACTGGCCACGTATTATTCTTTGTCCCTCATTGAGTTTACCTTCACCATGTCGCAGGTTGTTAACTGACTGTTGAGTAATTTATGACATTTCTTTTCCCTCATACCTTCCGCAACACCTCCATTTGAGAAGCTAGGATGTGGGATTTTCCCTCCACATATCAGCAGGCTCGATCATAACTATTTTTTGAGAAATAATATATACAACAAGGAGGCTGATCAAGGAATGCCAAGTAAACCATTCAATGGAGAATGAAAATTACAATCCGTTTACATCTCCAAAAAAAGTATAAAAGTTGCAGACTTGATGAAAAATGATGTTCAAAGTTTCTTGAAATTTCCTCTCAATAAAACTCTTTTAACATAAAGTTTACATTTTTTTGTTCCTGTCCACCATTTATTAATAAATAGCTCGGTAAGCATGGAAAAATCCATATCACCATCTCATTTACAAGTGGAGTAAAGTCTATTCTAATTTGTGAAGAAATGCATAGGGAAGAGTCGAGCCTGAACAAAGCCTCTTGGTTCTCAATCAGGGCCTTAAGTACCTATTCAAAATAAACATAAAGTAACAATGCACCAATATCTAGTTTTTGCTTGCTCCGTCAACTGGGGTGACTCCGGCCACACCTACAACAGGTACAAATGGCAGCAAAACAAAATAATAAACATTGGCCAAAGTCACCCCAGAGGCCCAAGTGACCACAGTCACTTTAGCCAACGTTTATTATTTTGTTTTGCTGCCATTTGATTCAGTTGTAGGTATGGGTAAAGTCATCCCAGGTGGCTAAAGTCACCCCAGTTAACGTTTCAGATCTTGATGACATTTATACCTTATGGCAAATATTCTCTGCAATTAGTCTGATAGACTGAGGTAGTTTTGGCTACAAGTCCTCAATAATAGTGGTGATATTTGATGCTTGATGAGATGGTGGTATTTGATGCTTGATGAGATGGTGATATTTGATGCTTGATGAGATGGTGATGTTTTTATGCTTGATGAGAACCTCCAGCCCACTCAAAACTTTACCCTGTGGGGATAAAATTCAGGCAAGGTCATCCCTGTTGGGAATCTGCATAGATAATTTTAATATATATCTATAGTATATAAACATAACATAATATAATTTATATTACTATATTATGTTATATAAACAACATATATTTATTTGTTCATAATATATAAACAAGACCAAGTAGTAAAGAACACTTATTAGATCAAAATATATTTCACCCAACATTTCTTTTATATATATTGATATAAATATAGGTATATAACTGCTGCTATTTTAAGTTAGCAAGTGATGAGGCTGAATTAATCTTTAATATATGAGGCTGAATTAATCTTTAATATACAAGGCTGAATTAATCTTTAATAGATGAGGCTGAATTAATCTTTAATATATGAACCATTATCTCCAGAATTCCACCCTGAGCACAGATGTAGACTAGCATTCTGCAGCTCTGACCCAAATCAGCTCCATCAGCAATTATTTATTAGTTGATAATATTTAAGACTTACCAGATAATTTGGTATCCTTTAAATTCAAGATATATGTTATGATGTTATAGTTATATTTAAAGCATGTTAGAAAAATTTCATCACTGGTTGATAACAACTGTCAAATTGGTTAGATTATTTCATAATGCTAATAAGATTTTTCTTTTTCCTATATTTTTCAGTTTGACCATTTAATGATAGGAAACATACACTTAATATAATCTAACATGCTAATATTATTTTTTCTTCTTCCTATATTTTTCAGTTTGACCATTTAATGATAGGAAGCTTAATATAATCTAGCACCATGAAGGCTGGCGGATCCATCCGCTGCTTCTTTGATATCAGCATTGATGATATCCCTGCCGGACGCATCATCTTTGAGCTCTTTGACCACTTGTGTCCTAAGACATGTGAGAACTTCAGAGCTCTGTGTACAGGTTAGTTAAAACTACACATATTTGTAATCAATCTTAGTGACTGCCTCTTCTTTATTATTTGGAATTAATTATTTCGTGAAAATATTTATTTGTTGAGGTCTACGGTATATCAGGGTTTGAAGTTTTTCTAGCAAATATATAACTTATTATATTTGGACTTTATTGAGAATATTGTCATTGTTTTAAAATTTGTATTGCAATACTTTATTTTGATGGCTAGTTATTGATTTAAGTTGGGTTGAAGTTTCACATACTGGATATTGTTGATGGTTCAACAGCATGGGCTGTGGCAGATTGTAAATCACTATTTAAATTCTGACTAATAACGCCTGAAATGACACATTCACACCAAAAAAATGCATCATACATTTTGGAATGATTTTAATTCTATAATACTAAGAATTATTTTGCTTTCAACGCAGAACAAAGAGCAATCAACTTGTGTACATTTTGGTAAAGACATGTAGGTACTACATCATATAAACATAAACTGAAGATGTAGTCTTTACACACGTGGAAAATGTTTAACTGGCCAAGTCATTAGAGTTAACCATAACCTAAGAATTGTTCAATGCACAACAAAAAGCAATCTATTTGTACCCCATTTAGTGAAGACATTGATGTCTTTACTAAATACCTATGTCATATAAACATAAACTGAAGATAAAAGTCTTTACACACATGGAAAATGTCGGGTCAAGTCATTAGATTTAACCATGACCAGGTGAGGCTGGCATTGGTCAGGTGACGGGCAAGCCGCTGCACTATGAGGGAGTCAAATTCCACCGCATCATCAAGGACTTCATGATCCAGGCTGGCGACTTTAGTGCAGGCAACGGCACAGGTGGAGAGAGCATTTATGGTGGCTGCTTTGATGGTGAGTTTATTGCTCTGTGCTAGGCTTAGAAAGTTCTATTTTTTCCAAGACTTCTCTTTAACTTCACTTCTTGTCTGTCTGTCTGTCTGTCTGTCTGCTACAAATCTTATGATCAATATTTAACACACTTCTACCTCTCCAATTGATCTTAAATTTTGCACGCTTGCATAAAGTTAGAGACAATGCATGAATCAATTGACAGAATAAATCATTTTAAAAAGTACAATTTTTTCTATACTCTTCTATCTTTTTTTGCTTTTTTTATCTTTTTTTCTCTATCTATACTTTTCCCCAGCACAAAAGACTGAACTTGCCTGAGCTCTTAATATTTCACAGACAATGTGTCCATTTTGAAGAGCTAGATTGCAATTTGTATCTTCAAGACTATCCAGCGGAAAATAACTATCAATTTGAATTCTGTTCATAACCTATAATTTTGTTGACTCAAGAATCAGTCTATAAAACCCTCAGTATCCTTGCTATATGGTATATATTTCTATATATAGCAAGGTTTTCTATAGTTGGCTATATATATTGCTGGCTATTTACCTGCAATATTGTAGTATATTATGTTAATGTTATATGTTCACATTTAAACTTTGAAGTATTGTAAAAAATGTTCATTTAAGTGGCTGCTCTGATGGTAATACTTTATATATTTTAAGTAATAAAATAAAGACCACTTAAATGACTGCAGACGAGAACTTGGAGATTGCCCATGAGTCGCCCTTCCTCCTGTCCATGGCTAACCGGGGGCGCAACACCAACGGCTCTCAGTTCTTCATGTGAGTTAATCTTACATATTTATTTCTTTTCATTCAATTATAGGCTTATTCTTTATCATCTGTGGTAGAGGCATTATTCCTACCTGATGTTTTCAAATACCCAGTAAAAATTTAAAGACGCAACAGCTTCTGATTTTGATTACCAGAAGCTGGGGTGACTCTAAATTTTGTTAGGGTTACAATACAATAAAAAACTTGCATCTATTACTGAATATATCACTCAATACACCTCTGTTTACCAGAGTGTTAATATTCATGTATTGATGGTGACTAATTTTATAACCTTGATGAAATGTGTTATAATATATATATATACATTTTATAGTGTATTACATGCAGGTTTGATAGGTATTTAAGGTTTTGTTGTATCTAATGTTTTATTTACAAAAGTTTTGTATTTACATGTATATTAGAACTGTTTGCAGCCTCTGTATATTTGTGGCACCAAACTCGATAGTATAACAGCAGAATTTGTTAACTAATATTGATCATCATGTTATATTTATCCTAACATAACAACATACGGTACTATGAGAACATATACATAGCATACCGGTACAAATTTCCTATGTATATATTTCTGTCTGAAATATTTATATATCATGTAATGTATGTTATATCCTGTAGCCACACATCAGGTATGTATGAGTAGCTTTGTATAATGTTAATAAATTATATTATTATATACATAATATTTAATATTGTGCATATTGCTTACACTTTGAACTATTTTAAAAAAAATGTTCATTTAACGGGCTGCTTTTAGGGTTTGTTCTTTACATATTTTAATGAATGAAATGGAAACCAGAATATAAATGTATATGATACGTCATATATGTACATGTCACAATCATGTCGTGGGTATAAGCCTTCTACAATGTGGTGGCCGTGGGAAGTGTTTACCTCTGCTGCGTTAGCGGCGGCATACCTTCAGGGGCGGCTACCCCTGCAGTAAACAACACCCCCCAGAGTGTTGCTCCTAAAGCAACACCCCCCAGAGCAACGTCCCCCAGAGTGCTGCTTGCCATAGCAACGCTCCCAGAGCGGCTCCCCCAGTCCTATGCAACGTCTCCCAGAGTGCTGCGTTAGAGCCGGCGTCCCTCCAGGGGAGACTACCCCCGCGCTAAGCAACGTCCTCCACGCAGCTCACCTTCATCTAGCAGCCCTCCTTCATGTGGCAGCGCCCCTAGAGTGCTGCCCCCAGCAGGGCAGAGCTCCTGAGAGTTTCTCTCGCTGACTTTCTTGTTTGTCTCACCGCAGAACAACGCAGCCTGCACCTCACCTCGACGGGTGAGTGATGTGGTGTGTGGTGATGTGTGAAGTGTCGTCATGTGTCATGGTGTGTCGTGTGTTGGGGGTGTCATGTGTCATTGTGTGTCATAGTCTTGTGTCGGGGGTGTCATGTGTCATGGTGTGTCATGCAGTGATCATGCAAGATGTATTTGATGTGATGTGTCTAAGATAGAAAAATAATGCTTGTATGAAGGAACATTAACTAAGATGTGTTGGCTGTCTATGTAGTCACACACCAGCTCTGTATGAGCAGCTATGTATGTATGAGCTGTGTTGTGAATAATTTGAATAAATTCTTTGTGTTTTGGAGAACTGTTATAGCTAAAATAGATTGATGGTGAATTAATTCGCTGTAATTTGCCACTAACGCCATCTTGTTGATTGTGAATTAGTTGTCTCACTTGCAACACAATTACAACTACATTTTATTGATGATAGAATAATTCACTATTATATTTTATTGATGATGTAATAATTCACTATTATTTTCGACTGATGGTGGTTGTGATGACCAGGAAGCACGTGGTGTTCGGGCGGGTGGTGAGTGGTGAGGAGGTGGTGGTGGCGATGGAGGAGCTGCCTGTCGATAACCGTCATCGTCCCCTCAACTCTGTCACCATCAAGCGGTGTGGTGAACTCCTGTCACGGCCTAAGAACAAGGGTGAGTCCTTCATCACCATCCTACATCACCATCCTATGATGTGTACTCCTGCATCACCATCCTGTGATGTGTACTCCTGCATCACCATCCTGTGATGTGTACTCCTGCATCACCATCCTGTGATGTGTACTCCTGCATCACCATCCTGTGATGTGAACTCCTGCATCACAATCACTATATATTATATATATACTCAACTTACATATAAATGTAAACATAATTTGTATTATTATTAATGTGCCAATTTAATAACATTAAAGAGAATAAATAGCAGCAATAAATATAATAAATATTGGAGTTGACGTTTTAGTAGATTTTAGCAGAAAAATTAATTCTATGATTAATTATAATCCATATAATTTGAGCTAATCTATCAAGTTTCTTTTAGGAATTTCTGACCACTTGAGTATGGCTTTGTCCACGGGTTAATTATTGATAAAAGTTTATTATTGAAGCAAATTTAATTATTAAGAAAAAGTTTATTATAAAATAATGTTGATTATTTATAAAAAGTTGATTATTAATACTAAGTTAATTGGTAATACAAAGTTTATTGTTAATACAAAGTTAAGTATTAATACAAAGTTAATTGGTAATAAGAAGGTAATTATGAATAAGAAGGTAATTGGTAATAAGAAGGTAATTATGAATAAGAAGGTAATTGGTAATAAGAAGGTAATTATGTATTATGTGCAGAGAAGAGGAAGGCCAGGAAGAAGGCTCTCTCCTCCTCCTCAGACTCAGATGAAGAAGAAGAAGGCAAGAGGCGCAAGAAGAAGAAGAAGGACAAGAAGAAGAAGAAAAAGAAGACCAAGAAGGCCAAGCGTCAAGTGTGAGTCATTTTTTTATCATATAATATCATTGTTTGTTATATTTTATTATTATATCATACATTCTAAGTGCCGTTCTTCAGTTGCTGCTGCTATTGCCTACCTTCATATAGAGTTAATATGACCGATGTTGTTGTTGTTGTCACTGCTGTTGTCACTGTTGTCACTGCTGTTGTCACTGTTGTTGTTACTGCTGTTGTCTCTGTTGTTGTCACTGCTGTTGTCACTGTTATCACTGTTGTCGTAATGCAGGAGTGACTCAGACGATGAAGGAGATAGTGAGGAGCAGGAGGAGGGGGAGCTGCTGGACGATGAGGGGGTGGAGCCGCCCCCCACCATCACCCGCACCATCATCAGGGCAAACCCCATCGTACAGGCACGCCTTCACTAGCCATAACACCTATAGAAATGTTGTATATAATATCACCTAAACATGTATTGAGATATTGTATATAATATCACCTAGGGAGGGCAGCCGTGGGTAACAAAATTGACTCGTAAACAGGCCCTGGGCCTAACGCCAACCATCAGCATGCAATATCTGCACATAGCCTCAGGTCAATGAGCTGTGGGTAACTCCGGCTAACAGTAAATCCGCTTTGTACAACACAGCCACTGCTCCACAGCCCCGTGCACAACTGGCCGGAGCGCAACAGGCGCAGGTTAAGTTAGGTTACGTTACGTTAGGAGTAGCTGTTGCGGTAGGGCCTGTTGTGCTCCGGCCAGTTGTACTCCGGCCTGTATGCGCTCCGGCCTGTGACTGAACTGCGCTGTTGTGGTGGGCGCTTTGTGTCAAACGCCGTGAAGATGCCCGGCTGCGTTACGCTCGGGAAGGTATATGAATCGCACTGTGGACTTGGGCTATGTTGACCTCTAGCTATCCACCCATCACCTACATACATATCATATTATATTGTATATATTATATTATTAATGGTATATAATTGCAGGTTAGCCAGATCGACCCCGACGAGATCCCCTGTGTGCCGAAGAACAGGTTCCTGTACCGCGGTGTCCCTGAGAGCAGGGACGAGCCCAGGGACGATGAGGGACGACGACCTGCCAGGGACGTCAGGAGGGACGAGCGTCGTCCTCACGACCCTCACAAGAGGGTTAAGGGACGAGGGGCCGTGGTGAGTTAAGGGACGAGGGGCCGTGGTGAGTTACGGGACGAGGGGCCGTGGTGAGTTAAGGGACGAGGGGCCGTGGTGAACAGGGGCCGTGGTGAGTTAAGGGACGGGGGCCGTGGTGAGTTAAGGGACAGGGGCCGTGGTGAGTTAAGGGACGGGGGCCGTGGTGAGTTCAGGGACGGGGGCCGTGGTGAGTTGAGGGACGAGGGGCCGTGGTGAGTTAAGGGACAGGGGCCGTGGTGAGTCAAGGGACGGGGGCCGTGGTGAGTTAAGGGACGGGGGCCGTGGTGAGTTAAGGGACGGGGGCCGTGGTGAGTTGAGGGACGAGGGGCCGTGGTGAATGAAGGGACGAGGGGCTGTGGTGAATTAAGAGACGAGGGGCCGCGGTGAGTGAAATGTCACCCATGCGTCCCTCAAAGGTCACCCACGCGCCCCCAATATGTCACACCGCAACCCCCCCCCAATACCCCCCTAACCCCCATCTCCCCCCCAGCGGTACCTGCCCCCCGCGGCGCGGTCCCGGACCCCCACGCCCCCCCACTGGCGGCAGGAGCAACGGCGCCTCGTGCCCTTCGAGATACACCAGGTGTGTGCTGTGTGGTGTGGTGTGTGTAGTGTGTGTGGTGTGCGTTGTATGTGTGTAGTGAGTAATGTGTAATGTGTGTGATCTTTATGACATGATCAGTTTAGGACTTCCTAGTCCCCGGTCACGCTGATGCGCCGCCTTCGTTGTCCTCCGTCTCCGAGTCGTCGTCGGATGTACCGTTGGATGTGTTCCGTCTATCTGTCCTCCTTTGGGGCCAGCTGATGCAAGATGCTGTTGCTTGTCACTTGCTGAGAGTAGTTTCCCATTACTGGACAATCCGGGATCTTTCTCAACCACTTGTCCAGTCATCTCTTGAATGTTGCAAGGGCGAACTCCCCTCCTCTCAGCGCTTTTGGCAAGGCATTAAAGAGCCTCGGTCCTACCACGGACAGTGATCCCTCACGAAGAGTCGGTACTCTGGCCGTGGCTTGGTTATTAAATGGGGGAACCTCGCACAGTCTCCCTCTCCTTTCATTGTAACGTGTCACTTTTCTGGAGGTCTCACTCTCAAAGTTAGCCAGTCCGGTTATCATCTTCCAAGTGTACAGTACGATACACCGTACCTTTCCCTTCTTCTCTCCAGGGAGTACAGTTCCAGGTGTTTCAGCCTTCCCCAGTAGTTCAGGTTCAGCTCCCTCATGCCGCTGATCCTGTACGTGAAGGTACACGTCCACGCCAGCTCCCTCCTCCAGCTGGGCCACCAGACGGTGATGGTGCTCCAGTAACTGCGACAAACAGGAACGATTACGCCGGAAGCCATGTTGTCCGTTATTGTACAGGTCAGCCTCTTCCATCTACCGGACAAGCCTCCTGACCACTACCCTCTCAAAAATCTCATGTGGTGTCTTTGTGTATGTTGAGTAGTGTGGTGGGTGATGTGTAGTTTATGTGTGTATCGAAAGGTTGTATGTTACCTAATGCATCTATTCCTAGTAATTTTTTTTAATATGATAAATGTTTATTTATTGTATGTATGGCATCAAGGATGGATGGTATATATGACATAACGGATTTATGTTGTATGTTTGTATGTTATATATAATGTATGTTTCCAGCGTCGCGCTGAACGTCAGCTGGAGCGCGACGCTGAACTCGAGGAGCGCAAGAAGCAGCGCGAGGAGCGACACCGTCAGGCCGCCCTGGCGTCCATGAGGGGACGGCGGGACGACAAGGGCGTCCCTGAGGCGTCCATGGACGACGAGGACGACGAAGAAGAAGGAGAGGTGACGAGGAGGGACGGCAAGAAACGTCCCCGGTCTGGCGAGGAGGAATGGCTCAGGCGCGCTCAGGAGCAGGTACGAATGCTTTTATGAACGATCGTTCATGTTAGCGCCTGCATTCGTTTCTATATTTCGTGCGAGTTTGTGTTCATATGAACCGTAAGTGTAAAATTGCGACAGCCGTAGCCGCCTCAGTAAAATTGTTGTCCGACCTTACTTCATTATCTGCTACGTAGTGAGGGGTCAGGTCTGAGTGGCTGTGAGTCAGGGAGTCAGGTCTGGGTGAGTCAGGGAGTCAGGCCTGGGTGGCTGTGAGTCAGGGAGTAAGGTCTGGGTGAGGCAGGGAGTCAGGTCTGGGTGGCTGTGAGTCAGGTCTGGGTGGCTGTGAGTCAGGGGGTCAGGCCTGGGTGGCTGTGAGTCAGGGAGTCAGGCCTGGGTGGCTGTGAGTCAGGGAGTCAGGGCTGGGTGGCTGTGAGTCAGGGCTGGGTGGCTGTGAGTCAGGGCTGGGTGGCTGTGAGTCAGGGCTGGGTGGCTGTGAGTCAGGGAGTCAGGTTTTGGTGGCTGTGAGTCAGGGAGTCAGGTCTGGGTGGCTGTGAGTCAGGGAGTCAGGTCTGGGTGGCTGTGAGTCAGGCCTGGGTGGCTGTGAGTCAGGGAGTCAGGTCTGGGTGAGGCAGGGAGTCAGGTCTGGGTGGCTGTGAGGCAGATCTGGGTGGCTGTGAGGCAGATCTGGGTGGCTGTGAGGCAGATCTGGGTGGCTGTGAGGCAACAGGGAGTCAGGTCTGGGTGGCTGTGAGGCTCTGCACAATTTTTTTATGTCTATTTTATGTCTCTAGTTTAAGTTTTTTATTGTTTAGGTGGAATGAGCTACAATCAATGGAATGTTCTGAAATTTACTTTTTGATCAGGACGAGTGGATCATGGGGAGACGCGGGGACGTGGACGGGGACTGGAGGAAGGCGAGGAAAGAAACACGTCTTGGGGAAGACGAGTCCTTGCGGCGTGGGGAAGAAAACAAGGCACGTCGTGGCGAAGAAAAAATTCCCCGTCGTGGGGAAGAAAGGTTCACTCGTCGTGGGGAAGAAGGGCCCAATCGTCGTGGGGAAGAAGGGCCCAATCGTCGTGGGGAAGAAGGGCCCTATCGTCGTGGGGAAGAAAAAATTCCCCGCCGTGGGGAAATTCCCACTAATCGTCGTGGGGAAGATATGGAACCGCGTAGGGAAAGCGGGCGGGAGAAGCGAGAAAGCAAATCTGATAAAGAAAAGAAACAAGACTACAGCGAAAAAAAGTGAGGAATTGATCATTAAAAACTCGTATAAATCATTCATGTCTTCATTATTTTCAAATTTCTGAACATTGAACATTATTTTTCCTCTATCATGATTGACCTTCACTGTTGATTTTCATTTCTATTTTCATTGAAAAAAATTATAATTCATCTGACACACTTTTGACATTTTCATTTGAAACAATGCAAATTTATTAAGCTTTTTCCCTCATTTTCAGATTCATTATAAGTAGAGCAGCGTTTGAGTAATTTTCATATGCATTATTACCTAAAAAAATTTGGGTATCGCCTCGGCGTCTGCCGTAGAGTCGCTACACTCGCTTGAAGTTATTCTGGGTCTGCTTGGCCACCCGATCATGAGAGTATGACAAGTGTGTCCTGAGAGTATGACAAGTGTGTCCTGAGAGTATGACAAGTATGTCATGAGAGTATGACAAGTGTGTCCTGAGAGTATGACAAGTGTGTCCTGAGAGTATGACAAGTGTGTCCTGAGAGTATGACAAGTGTGTCCTGAGAGTATGACAACGGTTGTCATGGCCGAGTCATGCCGAGCTTACAAGCTGCTCAGAGGCTGCACTTCAAGCCCGGCCGAGGCGGACATGAGCGGCTGATTTACGCGCTCCCCGAGTCCTGGGCGGCGCCTGATGCCCGTATCGTAATTTTGTTCGTGTATGAGCAGAGCGTTTGAAAACAACTTTTTCATATGCCCTGTTAAGAGCAGAACGTTTGAGTAAGACATTTTCATACGCATTGTTATGAGCAGACCGTTCGAGCACGACAGCGCGGAGGACTCAGAGGACGACCTGAAGGAGCGGGAGGACATGATGGGCGACCTCACCAAGATCCTGGACTACGGTGACGAGAACGCCCTCGACTACGACCCCATTGAAGACAATGACGAGGACGACGCAGACAATGATGATGGCCTCCCCAAGATGGCCAATGACGGCAAAGAAGAAGACGTGTCTTCCACTAAGATGGCCGACGAGGATATCGAAAGTTCAAGGAAAGAAGAGGAAAATGGAGGCAAGGAGTCTACTGGAAAATCGACTAAGGATGACGGCCGAGGTTCCGCTGAAAAAACGGCTAAGATTGACGGTAGAGATTCTACCGGGAAAACGGCTGAGAAAGTTATCCGTCAACCTGTAAAGAAAATACCTGAAGATGAGAGTGGAGATTCTTCAGAGGAAATTTCAGATGAAGAAATGTCTGTGAGAAAGGCTGTGGATGCTGAAAAAAGTTCTGCAGTCAAGCGAAATGAAGCTGTAGAATTGGATGAACCTGCTGAGAAAGCAAAGAATAAGAAGGCAGATGAAAAATCGGCAAAATCTCCCGTTAAAACGAGTTCGCATCGCAAAGAAAATGAAGACCATGAAGGTAAAAGTGAAGAGAAGGAAGTTAAGGGGCAAAAAAGACCAGTAGAAAAGAAGAAAGTTGCAGAAACCAGCGATTCCTCCGATGAAGATGAACGGATGACCAAAACCAAGGACAAACAAGCCAAAAAATCCACAGCTTCACCTGGCAAAGCCAAACCCGCTGACGCCGTTGGCAAGAGCTACAAAGACGCGGATGATAAAGACCCTGGCAAAAAATGGGATAAAGACTCCAGGGCTAAAGCGGATAAAGATTCTGGTAAAAAAATGGATAAAGACTCCGCAAGAAAAGTGGATAAAGACTCGGAGAAAAAGGATGATAAAGTTTCAGCACGCAAAGAGGTGAAGTCCACGCGTGACGAGGCTGTCAACAAGAACAAAGAAGCTGCGTCCAAAAGTCGCGACCATGAGAGGCGCGACGAAAATCGACGTCGTCATCGCAGCGGTGGCTCGCCAGGACGCCACGCCTCGCGAGACCGAAGTCCTCATCGCTCCCCCGAGACGAAGGCGTCGAAGTCAGAGGCCTCAAATGCGAAGTCCGAGACCTCCAAGTCGAAGTCCGAGGCGTCCAAGTCGAAGTCCGAGGTCTCCAAGTCGAAGTCCGAGGCCTCCAAGTCGAAGTCCGAGGCCTCCAAGTCGAAGTCCGAGGCCTCCAAGTCCAGAGAGAAACGGAGGTCCCGGTCTCGAGACCGCTCGGCCCGTAGACGTCGGTCTCGGTCCACGTCCCGACGAAGGAGATCGAGATCTCAGTCCCGCGGTAGACGGGCTCGATCTCCTGACAAGTCCCGCAGTCGCAGGTCCCGGTCCAAGGATAAGTCCAGGTCCCGAAGACGCCGGTCCCCAACTCCTAAATCCAAACGACGTCCTACACGGTCCCGGTCTCGGTCCCGCGGTCGCCGGTCCAGATCCCGCTCGAAAGATGCCAAGAAGTCGCGGTCCAAATTTGCTCGGTCTCGTCGGTCCCCTAGCTCTTCGTCCTCGACTTCATCATCGTCGAGTGCTTCGTCCCGACGATCGTCGAGTGAGTCTGACTAGGAAACTTCGTAGACCGACTTGATCTGGTCCAGTGATGACGAGGGTCGAGTTGATCTGGTCCAGTGATGACGAGGGTTAAGTTGATCTGGTCCAGTGATGACGAGGGTAGAGTTGATCTGGTCCAGTGATGACGAGGATCCCATGTGTTGATAACATGGGTCAAGTGTTGATAACATGGGTCAAGTTTTGACAACATGGGTCATAACATGGGTGAAATTGCCGCCGTAAAGATTTTTATTCTTTATGTACACTTCTAAGTTGACTTAATTTTCCGTTATACTTTGAGCGTCGAGAATAATAGAGGTAGTTAATCCTGCAACAGAAATGTAATAAATTTTTCAGTAAGAGCCATTTGTGTAGTTGCTGTTGGTAAGAGAATGGTTAATTTTTTATCGGGAAATTTCATTTTGGGAAAGATTTCGTGAAGGTGAGCCGAAGAAGAAGTTCTAGTTCTTGGTAAAGGCTGACATAGTCTAGTTTTTGTTATAGTTTTCTGATCCAAAAAATGGGAGACTTCCTTTTAATGGGAAAAGGGCTCTAAATTGGCATATGTATGTGTAAATACTGGAAAAATATTTGGCCTTTAGAAATTAACAAATTTAGCTGATTATGCAAATTCGTCATGTTACTGGAATGAACTTGCTGGTTAGTTAATGAGCATTGGATAATAATTTTATTACTTAAGGATTCAGAATTTTCTGTATGTTTTAAGTTCATTAATTTGTGTAGACCGAGTTCTTCACGGCTATTTTTTGTATTAATTTCAGTCGTGAAAGAGTAACGTACGGAAATTAGACGAGAGAAAACATTTTCAATTTTTTGTAGATTTTTGTTTATTAAAATTGACTTTTGTCTACTTTTGGCTATTACTTAACGTCGTACATCTCATCTTTAGATCATTACATGTTAACTTTTTGATCTCTCTAAAATTTATTAATTTACGTGCCGTTAGACGTTTTTTTCTAAAAATAATGATAAGATTAAAGAAAATTCCGACTTTTGGGGGGATTAACTTTGATGATTTTTACCTTTAATTTAATACATACTCTCAATGAAATGAGTATGACTATGTCCAAATATCAATACTCTATTTGCCTTTATATGTGTCATTCTGACCCAGTCTGGCCCGTCTAAAGGGCGTATCAGTGCTACTTACGCTTCCTTCTCGTAGTGTTGTGGGTCGCCATTGAGACAATGTGATCCAGTCCGCTCTTGAGTGCAGCCAATCATTGACCGCCAATCATTGATGCGATTGACCAATCTTGACGTGAGACTAAATCGCTCATTTCAAGTTAGTAATTAGTTTGCATTAGTTGCGATGTTTGCATAACGCCATGAAACTAATGGCAGATTAGTTAAGATTAGTCAATAAATAGAACACGTTGCTAGTTAAAAAAACACTTGTCGGAAATGACATGAAAATTTCTGCTCTTTTCTTTAAACTCGATTTCCATTTTTTTTGTCCACGGCGAATTGATGCTTCAAATTATGCTTGTAGCAACCATATGTCCTCGGGGTGGTCCAATGGATGAACTTCATAGTATCAAGATGTTAGCAGTGAGGTGCGGGTTCGATCCCAGCTACCTGCGGTAGTTTCTCGCAAGAATCGGCAAGGAGGCGGGGCGGTTAAGCAAAGCAAAATTGAAGCAGTGAGTTGCGTGTTCGACACCGCAACAAGCTGTTAATGTTCCGCAATGTTAAGAATCGGCGGCAGGCCAACGACGTAATGAACTCTGAAACCGCTATATACTTCCTACCATTTGTCATTTGCGCTATCATCGTCACTTTAAAATCATTATCATATTAAGTCTTGAGTTCATGAAGAATAAATGTATAAAACGAAGTTGATATTTCCTTCACCCAGTCTAAGGGCCCTGCAAAAGGCAGATAAATATGCCAAATGCATCTTTAAACTAAAAATATCTATTCAAAATTACTTCATATATTTTTATCATATTTTTTAATTAATTAACATATAGGTAAGGCTGTTACATAAAGTTACCATCCGAGGCTCCCAGGAGCTTCTTAACTCGAGCGACAATCTTGGTTGACTCACATTCAACTCTACCACAATCTGGTTAATTCAACTCAATTTAGGAGAATCGTCCTTTCATTATCAACTCTACCCTGCATTTTAAAACAAAACTTTGATTACCTAGTCATATACACAAGCTTTCAACACACCTGCCCCCCTAAGAGAAACGATATGCTGCTACTAGCTTGCGTGCGGCAAATGAATGATCAAGTTTTCGATGGGAACTACAAATAAACATTTCTTGCATCCATACTCTATGCAAATGTTGCATGTGACGTCACGTCGCAGGTGGATCCGCGGTCCGCGAGTCTCGTCAACTCAAGCCTCTCTAAGCGGTCAGTGCAGACTACGCTACGGCGGAGGGAGGTTGTGTCGCTGTGCCGGAAGGTGCATTATGTGGTTTTTCTTCCCGATTGCGTTATAGATTTTGTTAATTATACTTGTACGCCAAAAATGCATAAAATCATGGGGAAGCATGGTTAATTTAGTGTTGGGTAATATAAATTAGATATCTATTCAGACTATTCTCTAGTTTTAAAACTCCGTTTTTGAGAAGAAGTTGCAAAAGCTCCATTGCATGCGGTTGCCTGATTTCTGCTCTCCAGCCTAGCGTGGTCGACGTCACTAAAAATCAACACACGGACCGGAACTCCGATTCTTTCGTTCCATGTTTCGTTCACTAACCTCTTACCACGTGCGTGAACTCATTTGTTTACGAACAACTCCGGGTAATCGCAATCTTCCCGTTATAATTATGCATTAAAATAATTAGCATTTCACGATTATTCTCCAGTAATAGCTTCCTATAAAGAATTCTTAAATTTCACAAATTTGATTCGTTTGCCGCGTTCATTATAGTATAATGTTCGTACCCGAGAGGTTCGTCGACTGGCTTGCTTCATGAAATTTATTTACGTGAAGTGAAAACGTGGTCGGAAGCATGGAATTTTGTGTGGTGGGTAACCTGCTTTCACTGCGACGGCGTTCCAGGTCAGCTGCTCTCTTTTGTTTTGACGTTAAAATCTGCTGGTATTTAAGAGGGAAGATATTTAAACAATTGCACATATCCCATTAGATCTGCGCACCTGAAACTATTTATTTTATTTAGCCAATATATTTGGAAGTGATCAGTTACATCCAGACAAATACATTAACTGTAGACAGATACATTAACTTTAGACAGATGCATTAACTGTAGACAGATACATTAACTGTAGACAGATACATTAACTGTAGACAAATACATTAACTGTAGACAGATACATTAACTGTAGACAAATACATTAACTGTAGACAATTCATTCGTGTGTCTCTCGCTTCATTCGTGTTTCTCTCGCTTCATTCGTGTTTCTCTCGCTTCATTCGTGTTTCTCTCGCTTCATTCGTGTGTCTCTCGCTTCGTTCGTGTGTGTAACGCTTTATTCGCGTGTCTCTCGCTCCGTTCGTGTGTGTATCGCTTCATTCATGTGTCTCTCGCTCCGTTCGTGTGTGTATCGCTTCATTCGTGTGTCTTTCGCTTCATTCGTGTGTCTCTCGCTTCATTCGTACTCTCGCTTCGTTCGTGTGTCTTTCGCTTCATTCGTGTGTCTTTCGCTTCATTCGTTCTTTCGCTTCATTCGTGTGTCTCTCGCTTCGTTCGTGTATGCGTGGATGCCGGAGATGAGAAATACACAACTAATTTAAACGTCAATTAGTTGTAATTTTCACAACAATTATACTAATTTATTATAATAGATATCAATAGTAAATCTATTTCCCAGCGCTTATTAATTGTAGTATAACTTTAATTTATGTGTGTAACAAGGTATTTGTTCCGGCATATTTAAAACTTTTATTATGGGATTACTAATAAACTAAATTTTTGTTCCTCTATAAGTTAATTATACTTTTTTGTTATTGGCAATAATACTAACAATTATAATTTTGGCAATCTTAAGATAATAATATCGTGCAAATACGCGCAGTTTCTGTCGTATCTTATTTTTAATTACAATAATTATAGGTTGTCATAGTATAAAATAAAATTATATTATAATTACATTAATCTTTTTTAAAAGCAGTCCATGTCCACCGCAAAATTTTCCTATATTTATAATTACTCCGTAATTTGCGTATAAATATAGTATATGTAATATATATGATGTTTATAACTCTAACATTCTATATACAGTTACTAACAGTTTGTTAGTCTACCTGGCATGCGTAAACTGTAACTGTATACACGTATAGCGTTACTGTATGTACTTTAAACAACGTCTGATATTTATCATCACATGCGTTATAATGATGGTGATAATATAGCTATAGATTATCATGACTTACAATAGACTATCTTAGCGTAATCGCCTTCACACAGAAAAATGAATGTGTTCTATTGACCAAATAGTGACTCACTTTCAGCCCATAGCACTTATTGCCAGGCCTTGCATCGCTATATGGAAGAATAAAAAAAATTGCATCGTTAATTGCATAAAATCCCACGTATTTCTGTGAGTGTTACCAGCGTCCGTGATGCCACTGGGTGGTTCTGATAAGACTTATCAGCTCCCGAGGGTCATGATGCCTGATAAGAGTTATCTTAACCTCTTATCTATGTGTATCCGTTATCATTATCAGTACATGACAGTGATGATGCAAGCCACAGGGGCGGCACTGTGGAGGCGACATCACTCTTGCTGCCTTGCACCACACTGGGGGCCGCGGTTTGGTGTTTTTTATGTAAATTCAATGTAAATGTATTTTATGTATATTTAAAAAAATATATATTAAATGTATATATTTTTATATATATATAAAAATAAAAATGTATTTTGTTCAATGTAAAATGTAAATTTTATGATGTAATGGTTTGGTGAAATATTGGTGTTACTTTTATAAAAGTGATGAAGTGGTTATGGTGGGATAGTGCGATCAGAAGAATTAATGAGACTTTAATGGCAACGCACTTCTGCACTTAAATGAGTAATCCTGACTCAGTTTGACGCTGAAGAGGACGCATGATGCAGTGCTACCGCAGAAAATGTGTCTTTATTTGGACAATAAAACCTATACATTTAATAAATTTATAATATAGGTATGGTATTATAATATAGGTATATAATATAGGTATAAATAAAACCTATACATTTTTCTGACTGTGGCGCGGCTTTTCTAGAAGTGATGGAAATGTTTGGTGGATTTGGCGCAATATAATTGATGTTTTTCTATATATAATATAATGTAATATATAATATAATTGTTTTTCTTTCATGAAACTTTTTAGTGGACGTTTTGTACTTGTTTTATAAGAGATCTGGTTGTTTATTAATTGTAGGACTTGTTGGAGGAATTGATGGTTTAAACATGAATGACAAGTAATGTTTTCTTTAACTTATTTATTTTTCTTAATTAAGGTTCTAAAATTTCAGAAGTATTGTGCAAGTGGAAGAGCGTCTATGTAATAATAGTGACTGCGTCGAGAAGTCGTGACAGAACTTTCAATATTGTGATAGTGAACGTATACATCTAGAAGAAGTATAGTGACATGATTTCAAACTGTGTAACATATTGATTTCCAAATTGCTAGATTTTATTTTATGTGATTGTGAAGCAAACTACTCTGAGAAACTTGCATTGGAAAAATCTCCTTTCTTCTACTAAATCCCCGTTGCATATTCATTATTTTCACTGGATTTTCAGCGCAAGCTGAACTAGTTTAGAAATCCCGCGCCCGAAACTTCGGAAAATATTCAAAGAACTTCGTCTCATTCTCCGCTAAATATTGATATTTGTAATTAATATTTATTAATTCAACTAAATATTCATTTTTACACTAGTTTTTCATTGATTTCACTAAATTTTGTGGGGAAACTGATCTAGTTTAGGTAATCATGCCGCTGTTTAAACCTAGAAGACCTCTACCCGAGACCTCCCCCCTCCCCCCACCTGATCAAACAGACCAACAACAGACACAACAACAGAAGCAACAAACTCAACAACAAAAGCAACAAACTCAACAACAGAAATCACAACCAAAACAACAGCAAAACGGACGCAGCAATGGCCAACAGAACACCAAGAAAACAGCCGCCCTCCCCCCGCCTCAGGTTGGTGTCTCCTGTTAAGAATTATTTTAAATTGAAATTATTTTCAATAAATTCCGTTTCGTTTCTGTTAAATCAGAATAAAATTTTACCAATAAATGTCATGATAACTCCCGTTACTTAATTGGTTTGGCTAATGAGAATTTATCTAATTTATATATAAATTCAGAAGCGCACTAAAACAATCGATTAGGTTAATTATCACATTTCTGATTGAATGCCTGAATTTCTTCATTCAACAGGATACTTATCTGTATAAACAATATAAAAATAAATAATATATTATTTAAAATAATAATAATAATAATATATTATTTTAATAATATTATTATAAATAATAATAAATCCTGTATAAACAATAATTTATATAATAATCTTCACTAGAACTTCAAAAGAACTCATTTACCTTCTCCCCAACCGGACCCCAGTACAGTCGTATCTTCCTAATTGTTTTCTATTGTATCAATAGCAATAGTTCCTCCTGACATTTAATTTATTTTTATTTGTATTAAATATTATTTTTCTAGGAATTCAAAAGCAAAGAACGCCAAGCAAGTTCACCTTATCTTCATCGAAAGCTTTTCGAAGATTAGCCTTATCATCAGGTCAAATATTAAATAGAATATAGGATTTTCAATTCTCTGGACATCGTTTCAGTCGAGCTATACCTAAATAGGGGAAAATACATTAAGTAATTTTCAATATACCAATATTGGGGATAAATAGAGTTTACTTACTATCAACATCAGTAACAGCTAGATCGAATCAGAATATCTATTATACGGTATAGTCATTATAAACGCATTATTTTCCATTTATACTCGTAACACAAGGGGGCATAGAAACCCTCCCTGTTTAAACATATAACGAATGAATTTAAATTCAAAATTCATATCAGAGAAGGTGGAACAAATTCTATAGCCACAGCGTATCAAAGTTTAAAGACTTTTATTTCAAGCGAAATGAACAAAAGGTGAAGAAACTCATGCCCAGCTGCCATTAAATATCGGTTTGTGTCACACAGCTGTCTGAAAGTGACCGTTTACTTTTAACCATAAAGTGAAACTGGTTTCCATTTTCATGTGTCACTTTTCGATTGCAAAGTTACTAGGTCGAACGGTTGCTTTGAGACTTCTGTGTACCGCAAACCGACATTTACCCGCCTGCTTGGGTACGAGTTTCTTCAGCTTTCAGGTGAAGGACTGTTATTCCTGCTTCGATATGCGATCTAATCTGGTGCACGAATACAGTTGTGCGCGATGGGCATCAGCGGACATTAGAATGACGTCACGAAACTTCCGCATCAAGATTTCCGAACACCGCGGCAGGAGCTGTCGTTCGAATACGCCTCTTTAGAAACACCCTCATTCTGCCTTGCGCCAGAACGCTGAACATTGCGACTAATTGTGCACGATGCCCTGAAAGTGATTTCAAGTTACCATGATCCTCCTATGGCGGTTCTGACTTGAGAATTTTAGAATCGATACGCATTTTCAAGCGGAAACCTTGGTTGTCTCAGTAATGCGTATAGTTCTTATCCCCTTAAACTTTAAATCAATATGCTTTTATGTTCTGATTTCGCTTTTAAACTAAGGTTCCATTCTCTTGTATCTTTTTATTTTTTTCTTATTGTACTTATATTCTACGTGTTTTTTGAGCTGATGGTGGAGCTGCAGATCTTTAAACGTTTTCATTGAAGATATGAACTTGCTCGGCGTTGTCTTTGCTTTTACATTCGTGGTAAACTTGTGATTTAAGTTGCCTAATGATGTGAGTACCTGTATTATTTCTGCGTAAATATCACTCTTCCCCCCTGATATGCAAGGTGGCCTAGTGATTAAAGTTCAGAGTACCAAGATTGGCGCAGAGAGGCGCGGGTACGATCCCAGCTCTGTGCGCCAGTTTCTGGTCAGAATCGGCGAGGAGGCCGGGCGGTTAAGCACAGCAGAATTGTAGCCGTGAGTTGCGAGTTTGAGACCGCAGCGAGCTGTGAATGTTCTGCGATGTTAAGAATCGGCGACAGGCCTACGGCTCAATAAACGCTGAAACCGCTATTATTATTATTATTATTATCCCCCGTCTTCCCCAGGCTGGTGAGGTGACGAAGCCGAAGCTTGTGTTCCACTGCCAGCAGGCGCACGGCTCACCAACCGGCATCATCTCAGGCTTCACGAACGTCAAGGAGCTTTACCAGAAGATTGCTGATTGTTATGGGATCCCTGCAGCTGATGTGAGTATAAGTGGGTCGCCACGACCCACCTGCAGGGCGGTGAGGCAGAACCACCCACCTACAAATGTAGGAAAGTTGTGTGCTCCTACATTGGTGCACATAAAGTACATATACTTGTACACACTGTGCTATATGCAAGTTTTATTAAAGGCCAGAGCGTATTTCTTATCAATGATTTTCTTATTAATTTTCTAGATGCTGCGAACTAGGCTTTTTGCGGGATTTGAAAGTTCGAATCTAAGGTTTCCAAATTTACTTGATAATGAATATGGAATATTCGAAACGTCGTCAAGTCAAAAAAAATGTCATTTGGAAACCTTATATTCGAACTTTCAAATCCCGCAAAAAGCCTGGTTTGCAGCATCGAGAAGACTAAAAAGAAATACGCTCTGGTCTTTAATAAAACTTGCATAAAAGAAAAACTTCTGCCTAACTATACAAATACTGTGCGATATATGCATATATACGAGAAATATATGCACGCTATCAGGAAAATATACGAGCTATATATGCATAGTTCATCACTGACCGGAACTACGGATAGAGTCGCGATAGTCGCGCTCTGCTGACCTGAGGGACACTAGAGTGTGATGTGCTAGACCCTAGACACTGCCTAGACCCTAGACACTGCCTAGACCCTAGACACTGCCTAGCCCCTAGACACTGCCTAGCTCCTAGACACTGCCTAGACCCTAGACACTGCCTAGACCCTAGACACTGCCTAGATCCTAGACACTGCCTAGATCACCGCAAGGGACAGGCGCTCGACTTTCTTCTTGGACGCTGCGGGCGGCGCGGCTTTCCTTTGTTTGCTTCAGTTTGCTGGCTTCATAAATTCATTTCTAGATTACACACTTCTAGATTATCCGAAATACAAGTCCAAATTCCTTCCGCATCAGGATTATCCATTTTACATCCTCTTCAAGATTGTCTATTTCACCTCTCATTACTCATTTTTTACTCATTATTACTCATTAGTTACTCATTATTTACCTTGTACTATTTTTTCCTTTTTTTCTAATTCTGCTTCCGGCCCTCAACTGTTTTTTTTCGGTTCTTGTTCAAAATATTTGAGCTAATTCTTCTTTGACATTGGCAATTTCTTTTCTCTATGTCTTGAACCTTATATTACTTTTTTATAAGATTTCTTTATTTTTCATTTTCCTTCAATTATTATATTTTCGGCTTCTAGCTTTTGTTTTAATTAGGTACTTTTTCGGGGGCTGTTGTTTTCTGACCGGAAATTCTTTTCTGGAGAAAGTTCTTTTCCACAACCACCAGAGATTGATACTATGCTGCTATTTATTTTTTAACGATAACTTCTATATTATTTGTTAATTGCTTACTAATTGTATTAATTAATATTAAAAATGAAATCCTCACCTATTTTCCAGGCATACCGTTACTATATTGCTATATATCTTAATATAATTATACTTATTTTATTAGTTACCAACTGCATCTAATATTATATAACATAAATTACAGCCCCATCTACCATTGAACAATTACTATGCTTGTATTTATTTTAATTGCGGTTATATATTTATTATCTATCACTTAATTAATAACCCAATATAGTGACACGTCATTTAACCACAGCAATATGAAAGAGCCACCGTAGCACTGATACGCGACAATTATACCTGCGCCAAACTGTGTCAGGATGACCCACTCGAGGCAAAAACTGCATCGCTGCGTGAATAATCTGATTAATTATTTTTTTATTTCCTTCATCTGAATAAATTGACCTTAAATTTTGAATTATTTTTGGATTATTTAGAGAAATCTTTCACGATCAACTTCTCTATTAAATTCCGCAGTTAATGCTGATATTTGCATATATCTTTTTATTTAATTCATTATTTAACTTTCACCAAGGTTACTTGAAAACTACACGTGGAATTAATCAATTATTCAAACGTTTCGATTTATATAATTATTCACAAGGGACACTAATTATTTTCTATACATAACGTTTGTAATTTTAATTTTACTGGGCGCTCGTAAATGCCGAATTATAAGATTTTTTTACCTTCTGAAATGTAAATAAGTCTACGAAATTCTTGTAGAATAATTATTGCATTATGTATAAGTTAATTATATTGTTTGGCTACGATGAAAAATGATTCAGGTTCTACCGAGACTCGAACTCGGATTGTTGGATTCAGAGTCCAAAGTGCTAACCATTACACCATAGAACCGATATTGTGTTCATCATTACACCATACACTCAGAGGAATGCGTGAGACACTATATGCACTATTTCCTCTGTTGTGAGTGATACTGACCCGCTTCGGCTCGACAAAAATTAAGGTGTGTCAATGCTGCGTGAAAGAAGTGTGTCACTATGTGGGCAATACGACACATGAACGTTTCTGAGTGTAGAGCCGCTACCATGATCACCATTACGCCACATTGATTGTGTATAACACCAACTTACTATGATAGTCATTGTGTGGTTATGATGCCACGCCACAGCATGACAAGACAATAAATTCATCACACTTTTCTCTTGCAGTTAACTATCTTTCTTTAAAATCCTCTCATCGAATTCGAAAATATCATGCTTATAATGGTGCTCTGGGTAGCGGTTCTATGGTGTAATGGTTAGCACTTTGGACTCTGAATCCAACAATCCGAGTTCGAGTCTCGGTAGAACCTAGAATGATTTTTCAATTTTCGTACAATATTTAGAGGGCTGCAAAGCAATATAAGCATTAAACCGACGTGACTTAAACTCATGCTAGTATACAACTCTGACTTCGTTTTCATCGGGGTGCAACAAATAAAAATTCTGTTTTTAGCAACAAAATTTTGGCAGCGGTGGGATTCGAACCCACGCCTCCGGAGAGACTGGTGCCTTAAACCAGCGCCTTAGACCGCTCGGCCACGCTACCGTGACATAGGGCAACCACATCTTCGCTAGAATTCATTCCATGTTGGAATGAATTTGTTTTTGTAACGAATTTATTTTATAAAGGAACAAATTTGTTCGTTTAGAAATGCAATAGTTAGTTTCTTAAGCTGCACTCGTCGTGCACTATATATAAAGAAAATGTACTGACATCCCGCCATACTAATGGTGGCAATACTACCCGTTTTTATGGTGTAAAATGTTAAAATTAAATTTTGAATAAACATCCACTAAATAGTGAACAAACATCCACTAAATAGTGAATAAATATCCACTAAATAGTGAATAAATATCCACTAAATAGTGAAAAAATATCCACTAAATAGTGAATAAACATCCACTAAATAGTGAATAAACATCCACTAAATAGTGAATAAATATCCACTAAATAGTGAATTATTATCTATTAAATAGTGAATAAACTAATACAATTGTATTAAACTATTGCTAACGGATAAACCTGTGACTGTAAGAAGCGAGACGCGGCGTGCGGCTGCACTGGGAGAAACGAGTCAATCTTTGTCCGTTTCGCCTTCGTATAATGAGTCATCCTGACCCATCTTAGTCCGGCCTAATGACGTATCAATGATACGTTTGCTCTCTGCTAGTGTCACATAAAAGAAGTATGTCAGCATTTGGACAATATGATCCATTAATTACGAGTAGTGCATATGTACATATATATGTAGTGCCTCGGTAGCGCAGCATTTGGACAATATGATCCATTAATTACGAGTAGTGCATATGTACAACAATAAGTAGTGCCTCGGTAGCGCAGCATTTGGACAATATGATGCATTAATTACGAGTAGTGCATATGTACATCAATAAGTAGTGCCTCGGTAGCGCAGTAGGCAGCGCGTCAGTCTCATAATCTGAAGGCCGTGAGTTCGATCCTCACCCGGGGCAAAGTTTTAATAATTACGCAATACAATACATTGATATGTTGACTTATTAATCAATTAATAAATACAATAGTTGCACGATCTCACGCATGGCCACGTTCACGTGTGTGCCTGACCACGTGTCGCAGTGTCGTGTGTACGTGTTTAACGACGTGTAACGTATATTCAGTTCTCATGGTTAACTTACATAATTGTTGTATTACTTTATATTATATTATATTATGTTATATTATATTATATTATATTATATTATATTATATTATATGTGACTTCTAATTAGCCGCGTTTAATTCTTACTGTCAACACAGAACAATAATGAATCATATTGTAGAATTTGAATCAAACTTATGAGCGCACGTAGCACTGATACGCCTTTTTGCCGAGCGAAACTGGGTCAGGATGATCCACACAAGGGTAAAAAGTGCGTCACTATTTACGGAAAGACTCACTTATTTCTCTGAGTGCTCGCAGGATGCGGGCTGAATTTTTTTTAAGTCAAAGCGAAGCAATGAAACTAATGAGGTTAAATGGCCGGCCGGTGGTGGTGGTGGTGGTGGTGGTGGTGGTGGTGATGCGGGTGGTGGTGAGTGCGGGTGGTGGTGAGTGCGGGTGGTGGTGAGTGCGGGTGGTGGTGAGTGCGGGTGGTAGTGATGGCGATAGTGGTATAGTGGTGATGTATATATGTGAAAGGAGGATGATGATGATGGTGATGTTATTTGTTATGTCACCTGCATATCGAAACCTGCGATAAATCCCCCCCCGTAACTTAACCCCTCAACCCCTGTAACTATAAAGTACGTAATTACGTACTAAATTAATTTGGTAACACGCGTCGCGTGTCGTCATGCGTTACATGCGCGGCCTTCATGACGCGTGGCGCTCCGATGACGGCCGTGAGATGCGTCACGCTTGTGAGCGTTAGCAGCTGGTGTTATACCAGCACATAACACCATGTGTTATACCAGCACATACCATGTGTTATACCAGCACATAACACCATGTGTTATACCAGCACATAACACCATGTGTTATACCAGCACATAACACCATGTGTTATACCAGCACATACCATGTGTTATACCAGCACATAACACCATGTGTTATACCAGCACGTAACACCATGTGCGTTATACACCGAATATCCTACAATATACAACGACAATTAATCTGTATTAATCGAATGTATAGATATTTTTTAGACGTTGTACTAAATATCTTTGTATTCTTATGTGTGTGTGAATTTTGTATTAATTGAATAACGTGTGTTCGCTATTCAGGATATACGAGCGCCTGCAGCGAGCGTTGTATGGCTTCCCGCTCTGATCGAGCTGCCTGTGTGTTTCTTTGTGTTTTTGTTCGTATGTGTATACTTTTGTGTGTCTGTATTATTTGTGTGAAACCCATATGTTATACCAGCGGGATGAATTTTTATTTATTTATTCAGCGCAACACATCTGCTTTCATGGCTCTAAAATATACATAAACATAAATAAATATTTTTCTATATTTATATATAAATAATTTATTTCTATAAATATCTCTATATTCTATAGAAAGAATATCTCCATTTCTATATAAATATCTCTATATATCCGCACTGAATTCAACTGGCTCCATGACAACCTTGAACTATAACACGCAAACCCTGAACTATAACACGCAGCAACGGACACTTCAAACCAACGGGAGTTCTTCAAGAATCTGGTGCATGTAATCAATACATTTTATTTTAAAGAAGGTTGTAGACATTCATTATTTGGATTGCATTGGATTAATCGAAGTAACAACTATGACATTGAGCGGCCGTTTGTCCTGCCACCTGAGACAAGCTAGCAACCAGATCTGGTATAAAAACATTACAATCGATAAAAACATAAAATTCATCTAAAGATTGTCGATAAATTCAATAGGCTTCGTACCTATTGAATTCATCGCAATTCATCTTAGTCTTAACAACGTCAAACTCAACAAGACTGTCACTCCCACTGTGCTGGAGGAAGCCACCAGCATTGTCTAAGCTTTCTTATTGTGTAATTGTTGCCGAATTATTTTCACGGTTCCAAATTTTATTGTTACGTGTATTAACTAGTGCAAGTATTACTATATATTACTAACTTTAAATTCTCTTAAATTTTAAAATGAATGTACTTGTACTTATTTCCATCAAAATTTTTTTATTCAATGCTTCCGGTAACTTGAAAATGAATGTTGTTACTTTCGAAAAATCGTTAATATATTGAAACTACTTCCTTATTTAATTAACGAACGTCTTATTATTACTATGTATATATGTTGGACAGCAGCTTTGTACCCATGTTTGTACCCACGTACCCATGTTTTTGCCCATGTATCCATGTTTGTACCCATGTACCCACGTACCCATGTACCCATGTTGTGCCCCCAGATCCTGTTCTGTACCCTCAACACGCACAAGGTCGACATGACTCACTTGCTGGGGGGGCAGATCGGTCTCGACGACTTCATATTCGCCCATAGGAAAGGTGGGTCACCCGTCACCCAGAGGTGGGTCACCCGTCACCCAGAGGTGGGTCACCCGTCACTCAGAGGTGGATCACCCGTCACCCAGAGGTGGGTCACCCGTCACCCAGAGGTGGGTCACAAGGCACCCAGAGGTGGGTCACCCTTCACCCTTCCTTTACCCGTTCCCTCTCGACTTGCCAATTTCCTTCCTTCCCTCTCCTCCTTCCCGTTTCCTTATTCGCGTTCTTTTCCTTCATTTTCTTCCCTAATTCCTAATCCTTCTTCCATCTTCCTTCTACGTTCTCTTTTTTTCCCTCACTCACCTCCTCCCCTCTCGCACCCCCTCTCTCCCCCCCCTCACTCACCTCCTCTCCTCACTCACCTCTTGGGTGCGGTCTGGGCCTCCGGCCTGGGGCTGAGTTATAATTAATTTATTGATATTTCGCCACATGTTGATACATGCCACATGTTGCCACACGCCAAATGTTGACACATGCCACATGTTGCCACTTGCCACATGTTTCCACTTGCCTCATGTTGCCACATGCCACATGTTTAAATACTTATATTATCAGTTAACTTATATATCGCAAGTTCACAAGGAATTTAAAAGCAAAGAAAACGATATTGAAAAAGTTTCGGAGTCCAGCTCCATCATCAGTTCGACTAAACTAAAAATGAATAAAATCATTTCACAAGTCAAAATTCAAAGACAGACCTAAAACCTAAACAAGACCTAACATTATATCAAAAAACAGGACTCGATTGGAACAAATTAGTCATAGGGGTCACGACAAGAATATAAAAGCCTAGCGATTCACTATTTCCAGATTAAATGAACTTAACGCATTATTGAGACACGGTTTTCGTTTGAAGATATGTAGAGACTCCAAAATTCTCAAATCTAAGCAGCCAGAAGTGGAACCGAGTATCCTGAAATTACTCTCAGATACAGCCACGTCGCACTGTTCAGCATGGAGGCGCACGGAAGAATGAGGAGGCTTGGCGAGAGGCAAGTTAGAACGATAGCTCCTGCCACGGTGTTCAGAAACCCGGATGTAGAAGTTACGCGACGTCATTCCAACGTACGCAGATGCACAGCGTGCACAACAGAAGTCATGGACATAGTTTTATTTATGAAATATTTCCAGAATATAAATTTGCATGTTTTGCTGGTGAATAATTTCGAAATAGGTTCTTTCTTCAGGTATAATTAAGGACGTTTTCCTGCTCGGATGCGATCAAACCTGATCCATGAGTTCAGTTATGTGCGCTGCGCATCTGCGTACGTTGGAATGACGTAGCGGAACTTCTACATCCGGGTTTCTGAACACCGTGGCAGGAGCTATCGTTCTAACTTGCCTCTCGCCAAGCCTCCTCATTCTTCCGTGCGCCTCCATGCTGAACAGTGCGACGTGGCTGTATCTGAGAGTAATTTCAGGATACTCGGTTCCACTTCTGGCTGCTCGGATTTGAGAATTTTGGAGTCTCTACATATCTACAACGAAAACCGTGTCTCAATATTGCTTTTAGTTCATATAATCTTGAAATTGTGAATCGCTACGCCCTGAAGTTTTATTCTTTTCGTGACCCCTAGGATAAGTTGTTCCAATCGAGTCCTGTTTTTTTATATAATGTTAGGTCTTGTTTAGGTTTTATGTCTGTCTTAGAATTTTGACTTATGAAATGATTTTAATAATTTTTAGATTGTCGAACTGATGATGGAGCTGGGCTCCGAAACGTTTTCAATGTCGATATGGTGAATTTGCTTGGCGTTTTCTTTGCTTTTAAATTCCATGCCACATGTTGCCACATGCCACATGTTGCCACATGCCACATGTTGCCATATGCCACATGTTGCCACATGCCACAGGAGTTGCCAAGGAGGTGGAGATCGTGAAGACGGAGGACGCGCTCGGCTTAACCATCACTGATAACGGCGCAGGCTACGCCTTCATCAAGAGGATAAAGGAGGGATCCGTCATCGATAAGCTCAAGCTGGTGGTGGAGGTGGGTGGTGGTGGTGATGGTGGTAATGGTGGTGGTGGTGGATAGCAATATTAAAATGACATCAGCAAAGATAAAAGTTATAGCCACCGCCAGTCACCCCCGACCGCTTCGTATTTTTGTAATTATATAATACAGACTATTTTGTATTCGTATTTTTAAAATGATTAATACTGACTATTTCTTCACGAGATAAAGTAAATATGTCGAGGTTATGTATAGGTCCCGATCACCTGTGTGCTGGCTCAGCTGGATGCTTAAAACTATGTCAAGTTTTATTAAAGTGGAATTATATACGGAATTCAAGATGAAATTCAAATTAAATGGTCCCGTCAGAGATAACAAGGAGCTTGATAAACTACATATAGTGATGGTTACTTGTCCACTAGTGGCTGGTGGTGAAAGCTGCGTCGCTTACGACGTCGTAAACTACCCTTAAGACGTCGTAATCTGACGACGTCGTAATGTGACGATATCGTAACCTTACGACTTCGCAAACTAACTTCACCGTAACCGTACGACGTCGTAATCTAACCTTAAAACGTCGTAATCTGACGATGTCGTAACATTACAACGTCGTAACATTACGACGTCGTAAAACAAAACCTAACGACGTCGTAAAGCAATCTTACGATGTCGTAAACTAACCTTACGACGTCTTAATCAATCTCACGACGTCGTAACCTGACGACGTCATAACCTTATGACATTGAAACCTTACGACATCGTAACCTTACGACATCGTAATCTTACGACATCGTAACCCTAAGACATCGTAAGCTTACGACTTCGTGTGGTCAGGTGGGCGACCACATCGAGCGCATCGACGGCACGTCGCTGGTGGGGCGCCGGCACTTCGAGGTCGCCAAGCTCCTCAAGGAGATCCCCAGGGGCGCCAGCTTCGTCATGAGGCTCGTCCAGCCTCTTAAGGCGGGCTTTGGTGAGCCCTTAGTCCTTAGTTCTTAGCCCTTAGTCCTTATCCTTAGTCCAGCTCTTAGCCTTTAGTCCAGCCCTTAGCCTTTAGTCCAGCCCTTAGCCTTTAGTCCCGTAGCCCCCGCTGGAGCCATTAGCTCTTAGCCAATGCCCTATGCTCTCGGCTATAACCCTAGTATATAAGCAAAAAATTATTAGTATAGATTAAAATAACAGAGGATTTGGTCTTATTAATGTTTTAAATAATATCAACCAATATCGCATATGCAATAATAATATAAGTTAAAAACGAATACTGAATTTATTTGAATATTTAACTAATGATAATAATAGGATGGAGCATATGATGAATGTTAAGTTGAATGATAATGATTGATGTGAAGCATAAGTTAATAGTGAGTTGAATGATAATGATATATGTGAAGCATAAGTTAATAGTGAGTTGAATGATAAAATGAAGATAATGATGAATATTTTGTGCAGCAAACATCGGGCCGCGCAGTGACCCGCGCTCGGGGTCTAAGAAGGGTCTGGGGTCGGGCAAACAGACCCTGCGGTTCAAGGCTAATGGGCAGGCCCAGGTCGAGGACGTGGTGAGTCGGGGTCTGGTCCATTATGGGGTCTGGCCCATTATATGAGGTCTGACCCATTATGGGGTCTGACCCATTATGAGGTCTGACCCATTATGGGGTCTCACCCATTATGAGGGTCTGACCCATTATGGGGTCTGGTCCATTATGGGGTCTGACCCTAGACCCCTAGTTGGTGTTTCAACGTTCGCACCTTATGGCATTTATATTCCTAAAGTAATATAAAAATTATTAATAGAATTCAATATTAACTCATTCACGGGATTTTACACAGAATTATACGAAACAATAAACACCAAATGATACATTAAATCATACAAAGAATTACTCATGGAATTGTATACAGAATTATACACTGAATTGTAACAGATCTATACATGGAGTTGTAACAGAATTATACATAGAATTGTAACAGATTTATACATGGACTTGTATACAGAATTATACACATGAATTATTCATCACCTCAACTGATGAATTCAACGTGCACAGGACGACCACGCGACCGTTGCCATCGAGAAAATCAACAGCCTGCTTGAAAACTTCCTCGGTATCAACGATAACGACCTGGGTGAGTGGGCTCGGTATCAACGATAACGACCTGGGTGAGTGGGCTCAGTATCAACGATAACGACCTGGGTGAGTGGGCTCAGTATCAACGATAACGACCTGGGTGAGTGGGCTCAGTATCAACGATAACGACCTGGGTGAGTGGGCTCGGTATCAACGATAACGACCTGGGTGAGCGGGCTCAGTATCAACGATAACGACCTGGGTGAGTGGGCTCGGTATCAACGATAACGACCGCTGCTATATTATTCTACGAAACAATACTATTTTAAACTATAACATAATATGGTTCACCATGCTATGCTATTTCATATAATATATTATACGCAACTTGGCTATAATTTTCGCCATTTCACGCACCACCAAAGGAGATCATATATTATAATTATTGTATACTACTGATTCTATTGTAATAGTGTGTCAATTTGACCCATAACTGGGTTGCAGCTGCCCAGATCTGGGACCTGGGTCAGGGCAAGCAGAATACGATGGAGTTCGCTGAGGCCGTCGACGACTCTGACCTCGAGAGCTTCGGCTTCAACGACGACTTCATCTTCGAGTTGTGGGGCGCCATCACCGACGCCAAGAGCGGCCGCTTGAAGAGGGTCTGAGTCTAAGGGCTGCGCCCTTTGTTTCAAGGTGGCCTCTGGAGACCTAAGGCCGCGTCCTCGTTCTTAAGGTGGTCACATGAGCTTAAGGGCCGCTCCCTTTGTTTCAAGGTGGCCTCTGGAGACCTAAGGCCGCGTCCTCGTTCTTAAGGTGGTGGCATGAACTTAAGGGCCGCGCCCTTAGGCTTAAGGTGGCCTCTTGAGAACAAGGTATACGCCCGTGGTCTCAAGATGGCCTCTTGAGACCACGGGCTGCGCAGTGCGCCCTTGGGCTTAAGATGGTCCCATGAGACCCAAGGCCGCACATTTGGGCTCAATGTGGCCTCTTGAGGCCAAGGACTGCGCCCTCAGTTTTAGCTTCTTGACTGGTTAATGGTTATTAGTCCTAAGACCGAGGGTAGGGCTGGCTCTGAGATCAAGGGCAGAGAGCGTTTTAGCCCAAGTTGAGGGTAAGCGTTAGACCAAGACCATGCAGGGAAAGTCTTAGGTCGAGGGCTGAGAAGACTTTAGACGGAGGGCATGGAAAACTAGCGACCAATAAAAGGTCTAGGACGTAATTAAAGGAAGGGTTTTAGACCAAGTCTTCTTTTCAACGATCCATGTCGTTTCTAAAACCTATAGGAAATCGATGACTTACAAAATAGGTAGGAATGGTTCATAGACCAGGGGCAAGACGAACTGTTAGACCATGAGCAATGATGGATCTGAGACCACGGGCAGGACTAGTTCTGAGACCTATGACAGGGCTGGGTCTGAGACTAAAGGCTGGGGGTGAGTCTGAGACCAAGGGCTGGGCTGGTCTGAGACCAAGGACATATTATACATGAGACTAAGGACAAGGATGGATATAAGACCATATCCTCGGTATCAACGATCAGGATCGGCCCTTCTATCGAGAATAATGATCTGCACCGAAGAAGATGTAAATTAAATCCTTCTCGGAAGAATAAATCCTTCTCGGATGATGATATAAACTGTAGCCTTTGTGTGAGCTGAGGTGCAAGATGGCGGCCTTTGCATGAGCTGAGATACAAGATGGCGGCCTTTGTGTGAGCTGACGGGCAAGATGGTGGCCTTTGTGTGAGCTGAGATACAAGATGGTGGCCTTTATGTGAGCTGAGGTGTAAGATGGCGGCCTTCGTGTGAGCTGACGTGCAAGATGGCGGCCTTTGCATGATCTGAGATACAAGATGGCGGCCTTTGTGTGAGCTGAGGTGCAAGATGGCGGCCTTTGTGTGAGCTGACGTGCGATATATCGTCCAATTTGTCCGCGCCAAAAACACGACTTCCAAGTTTCAGAAGTGCCTTCAATATTTGCTATGGTCGAATGAGTCTTGGTTTATCGAATTTAATTTATATTAATCATAGAGAGACTTCAATGCATAATTTATTGTTTATTAGACAAACAAAACTCACATTCTAGCAAATAATTTTTTATACATTGTATACATTATACCCACTTAATCACTTTTTATACATTTTACTTGTATTATATTTGAACTCCAAAGACAGCTCGAGTTGATTATCGTTAATGTTTGATACTTATTTGTACTGGAAACTGTCTACAAAAATCATATATTTATATCAGTTTTAGGTCTTTTGATTTTCACTATATTCAAGGTATGACTATGAACCGTGAAAATAATTTTTGATTCCTTTAGGAATTAATGACTTATGAAATATTTCGTGTTTACGTCCCTTAAGTTGCTTGTGAGGTTGTCAGCTCTCAAGTTGTCCCCTCTCATGTTCTTCCCACTCATGTTTCCATCACTCAACTTTTATCCGTTTAAGTTTTTCTCACTCAAGTTTTTCCCACTCAAGTTTTCTCCACTTAAGTTTTTCTCACTCAAGTTTTCACTCTATTTTTTCTCACTCAAGTTTTCACACTCAAGTTTTTCTCACTCAAGTTTTCCCCACTCAAGTTTTCTCCACTTAAGTTTTTCTCACTCAAGTTTTCACTCAATTTTTTCTCACTCAAGTTTTTTCCACTCTATTTTTTCTCACTGAAGTTTTTTCCACTATATTTTTTCCCACGCAAGTTTCCCCTCTCGAACTTTTCCCTCATCTCTAGGAGTATAATTTTAACGTATGAATATAGAATATCTTTATTCATCAGGTTGAGATAATTTATCGTGTGTATGTAATTAGAGTTATTACGTTTAATGATGATAAGTTTTAATAATAATCAATTATGAAAGCAATAAATAATAAATCATATATCTTACTATTGACCTAATTAATTAATCCTCAAGCCATAATCTATGATGAAGTTAATAAACAAAAGTGATACCTCAATAAGTGAAGATGATAGTTAATTTGCGATTAATTGAAATAATTTGAGGTTCATTGAGATAATTTGAGATTAATCAAGATAATTAGAGGCTAATTAAGATCATTTGATTGCTTGTTTAATTGTCCAAATAACGATGTAATTTTTACCCTTGGCTGGGTCACCCTGACACAGTTCTACCGGGCGTATCAGTGCTACGCGCAAAGAAGTGATGAGCTACCAGGGGCCACATTATCAAAACTTCGTAACTTTTTGTACTTCCGTCAAAAAAGTTACGTGTTACGTAAGTAAACCCTAATTTTGGCATTATCAAAACATTCGTACGTAAGGCTTAGCTAAAAGCGTACTATCAAAACCATCTGGCCAACTGACCAATCAGAGGCTTCGGATTTGTTTACATTCTGTGAACTTCGATGGCGGGAATCGATGCCTTCGATGCTAATGCTATCGACTATCGAATGCTGTCTGTCGGTATTACTCCTTGTTGGCTCAGAAAAAGCCGTTCTAAAATAGTTGTTAACACTTTTTAATAAACAGCGTGAGTTGAAGAAGAAATCTGTGTACGGAGCTAAAAATTATGGTTGGAAGAGATATAAAGTACCGACTAGAAGGAATGAATGATGAGAGTTGGGCGCGAAAGCTTGAGAGTTGCTTTTGCGCTTGTAAAATATAACGCAATATGCATTTGCTTGTAAAATATAACGTAACGTAAAAGGTAAACAAAAATCAGTTTCTGGCATTAACTCAATTGAATTTTTTTCCAATAGCACTGTTTAGCACGATCACATATTTTGATCGTACAAATGTTGCACGATCAAGTAGTGGAGCCATCACAAGTAGAGCCATCATTCTATGCGTTTATAATCCGCGCTGTCGGATTATTGACAAAATTCCATCACAAGTCAAGGTGTTGCTACTTGCTAGTAAATCAATAGTTTCCTATCGCTTCAGCAGACACTCTAAACTTGTGGGGAACTTCACTTACGACATCTCCGAGCAGGCGTACAGTTACGTTACGTATCTTCCCGCGCAAATGTTTTGATAATACCACCTCTATAGTTACGTCATAAAGTCAGCACTTACGCCACTCGTACGTCGATTTTGAGTACTTACGAAGTTTTGATAATACGGCCCCAGGACAATGAATAGCCCTTCGATTTTTTTAGTGTAAAATATATATGATGCCGGTTCGGGAATTCGTTACAATTAAAAAAAAATTACGCGAAATTCCCCCTATCGTGGGGGGGGGGATATTCATCGCCCCCTCCCCACTCCCCACTCGCTTTACCCTCTAATTCATCTCCCCCTCCCCATAAGCTTTACCCTCTAAAGAGGGCACAGGACGGTATATGATTACCAAAGAGAGTGTCCCTCTCTATCACTTTATCCCTCCCTCTCTAATCTGTACTCGCTCATTTTTCTGAATATATATAGTATTTTTTTATAGTTTTTCTATGCACATACATAGCTTCAAGTAGCAACAAAGATCGTGTATATTATCGATCTAGATCGTTTATATTATCGATCTAGATCGTGTATATCATCGCTCTAGATCGTGTATATTATCGATCTAGATCGTGTATATTATCGATCTAGATCGTGTATATTATCGATCTAAAGTATCTGTACCATGAAGAATGTACGTGTTAGATGATTTAGATGATATATCAGGTGTTAGGGATACGCGTATAGGGGCATTGACCCCTGCCGTATATATATTACTATTTGCTCGGTTTCTTGCTCCGGTTGACGCGTCCTAATCTCGGTTTCATTTAACCTTCTTTGTGGCTGCGGTCGGCTGCTGAGAAATGCGCTCTGCGTCGTCAGCTGTTTACTAGACGGTTGCCATAACAACCGGACGTATGATATCTTAGATGACGTACGACATTTTTACTCTTCAAGCAACAGTTTATACGTTATTTAGTGTAAAATATATATTATTTAAAGGGAAATAACTATTAGTGTAAGGTCCTTTCTTATCTGGCGTGTGAGTGGGAAGAAAACTGGAAGAATGAAGCCGTGAAGCTCGGCAACCAATGAACTTTTTTCTAGTTTCCAGGACTCGTCCTGGAGCAGGTGTATGACCACAGTCCCGCGTTCACGTTACGTCGAAACGAGTAGTGACCATCACTAAATGTGCATTTTAGTCAGTATTAATTTTCAAATAAATTTATCAAGATTGTATAATTATTAGTTAGGTATCAATAGGTATTATTCATACTACTTTAAATCTCAAATGTGCATGAATTTTCAGGTTAAGTAAAAAGTTTCTTGAACTTTTGGCGTCGTGGACGCTGTGATGCGGCGACTGCCCGAGGTGTCGGCAAAAGACTATAGGTTTTGTCTGGCCGCGGCCATCGTCATGAGTGGTTGTGTGCGTGTCGGTAGCTCTCGATATCTGTGAACCCATCTCGTTTATCTCTCAAATTCAGGCTTTTTTTAATTTTTATCTAGATGTATATATGCCTATATTTCAAAACATATTCATTAATAGGTAAACAATTAACGATAATTTGAAAATTATTTTAAATTTTATAACGGATTGAAGAGTGTCAAATGAGTACATTGATCTACCTAACTTAGCAGCATGACAGAAAAGCATGATGGAATCACCGAAATTGACGCACACATTAGTAAAAAATATGACATCCGCCGGCGCATCGGCAAAGGGGTGAGTGTCTTCCGCATAAATAATATTTAAGAAAACAATAAAAATTCTTTGTTTACTTTGTGACGCCAGTGAGCATATATATATAGTTGCCGGGATGAAGCGTCACGCTGGATGACAGCGTTGGGCGGGCTGACTTAACACTCAGAAATGAGTGTGTCGTATTGTTCAAAAAATGAGACACTTACCCATAGTAAGTGTCTCATTATTTGAGTATCCATAGTAAGTGTCTCATATCAACCCAATAGTAAGCTAAGTACTTATACATATGTACGGTCTCTTTTCCTATCTATATATGATTTTTTGAATTAACAAGACAATTTTTAAACCATTACCCGAACTGACAATGACGATTATTTTGATCCGAATATGAAAATTTAATTAATTTATAAGGAAAGCTCGATGCAAGCAAATGATAATTATAATGCGTTTAAAAGTATAAATATTAAACTGTGGCTCCGTAAAACTAATTGGTGATTTTGTTTAAAAACTGAAACACTTTCTGCACGTGGGCCAGAATGGGTTTGGGTAACCCACAAAAGGGATAAACGTGCATCACAATTTGGACAAAGTCCGCTCACTTTTCTGAGTGATCCTTTAGTTTAGGACTTAGGGTAATGTTTTCTGAGTGATCCTTTAGTTTAGGACTTAGGGTAATGTTTTCTGAGTGATCCTTTAGTTTAGGACTTAGGGTAATGTTTTCTGAGTGATCTAAAGTTTAGGGTAATATCCTTACAGCGTTTAGGGTAAGAAATACCTGCGTTACCCCCACAATATGGAGGTAATATTACCCTCAGTTACCCTTACCCCCAACTGGCATCACGGTTGTTCAATGTTATTAATTTTATTATATTTTACTATGATAGTGACGTGTATAATAGAGCTCATGACTGTTGTCAATTTATATATAATATCGTGATTAATTTCCCATTAACTTTTGCCGAGGACGGAGGTTAATGGGATCAATAATTATTATTTAATAATTATTATTGCATCAGTTGGAAATAAAATTAATAATGTTAATGATAATAATATTGCAAAAACATAGGTAATTGTCATTACCTTCCTAAGATATTGAGTTACTCAGGTAATTGGTATTACCTACTTAAGTTTTGATTACTCAGGTAATTGGTATTACCTACTTAAGTTTTGATTACTCAGGTAATTGGTATTACCTACTCAAGTATTGAGTTACTCAGGTAATTGGTATTACCTACTCAAGTATTGAGTTACTCAGGTACTAATTGGTATTACCTACTCAAGTATTGAGTTACTCAGGTAATTGGTATTACCTACTCATGTATTGAGTTACTCAGGTAATTGGTATTACCTACTTAAGTTTTGATTACTCAGGTAATTGGTATTAGCTACTTAAGTTTTGATTACTCAGGTAATTGGTATTAGCTACTTAAGTATTGATTACTCAGGTAATTGGTATTAGCTACTTAAGTATTGATTACTCAGGTAATTGGTATTAGCTACTTAAGTATTGATTGCTCAGGTAATTATTATTACCTACTTTAGTATTAATTACTCAAGTAATTGGTATTTGAAGTTACCATCAAAAGACGCAAGGCGACGCGGTTGAACTTTTACGCTCAATTCAACGCCCGTTGAATTGTGAACAAATCGATGCTTAGGAACCCAAATGTCGGGGGGGGGGGGCGCTGCCACCCCCACTGGGGGTAGAGGGAGGTGCTGTCACCCCCGGGGGGAAGCGGGGCGCTGTCACCCCGCTAGGTCTTAAGTTGTAAGTCTTAGGTCTTACGTCGTATGTCTTAGGTCTTACGTCGTATGTTTTAGGTCTTACGTCGTAAGTCTTATGTCTTAAGTCGTAAGTCTTTGGCCGTATTGGTCGTAAGTCTTAGGTCTTAAGTCGTAAGTCTTATGTCTTAAGTCGTAAGTCTTAGGAAGTAAGTCTTAGGTCCTAAGTCGCAAGTCTTAGGTCTTAAGTCGTGAGTGTTAGGTCTTAAGTCGTACTTCTTAGGTCTTAAGTCGTAAGTCTTAAGTCATAAGTCTTAGGTCTTGAGTCGTATATCTTAGGTCTTGAGTCGTATGTCTTAGGTCTTGAGTCGTAGGTCTTAGGTCGTACATCTTAGGTCCTAAGTTGTAAGTCTTAAGTCGTAGGTATTAGGTCTTAAGTCGTAAGTTTGTAAGTTTTCGGTCTTGAGTTCTTGCGGACTAATCACTAAATTAGCTCTCAGTGACCTCGGACATTCGACTAATGAACCACGATAATAAATGAACGATAAATACAATAAAACAATATATAAACCGTGAGTCTTGCTATCCCTTGCCTATTAATTCGTAATCATGTCCTAGGTTCGCAGCCCCGCTGAAAAAGCACGAATAAAGACAAATTAAGCAGTTGAATTAATGAGTATAGCACACATAAATAATATACTAATATAAATAATATTCAAGATATAACTATAAATAATAATATTCACCCAGAAACCCACCACTACATCAACACAATATTAACACACGATCAACAATACAAATACTAACCTGTGTGTTGTATATCATAGCAATGACACGGTATACATGACAGGTCTACACGTGGGCATGTGCTTGTTAACTCAAATATAGTGAAATATCAGCACCTGTAACCTTAATTAATATTGATGAAATTAACCTTAATGTTGATGAAATTATTACTGCAAGACGTTCCCTAACAACGGCACCACTACATAGACAATTCTAATGTTCAACAATCAGGAGGTGTAAAAAACTGAAATCTTTGTTTCGAACGGCAAAAACCATGGATTAATTGACAAATAGATAAAAAAATATAACTCAGTACTCACTGCAGGGAGTGACAGAGAGCGCATTTTCTCGTCGACGAAAACTTGAGGTCACGGACGGACGGACGGACAGACGGACGGACAGACGGACGGACAGACGGACGGACATGGCGAGTACAATAGTGCATTTTTTCCATAAATGAGAAAATGCGCTAAAAAGGGAAAACCCTACACGCAACGGTCAATTTAATGAACGCATTCAATGTCTACAACAAAGCTATTGATGAAATTATTATTGCAAAACAAATTTGTTAAGGCGAAGTAGCAGTGAAGTCTTGGGTCATTACAGCGGCCGCACTGCACCGTGCCCTCAGTGGCACTGCACCGTGCCCTCAGTGGCACTGCACCGTGCCCTCAGTGGCACTGCACCGTGCCCTCAGTGGCACTGCACCGTGCCCTCAGTGGCACTGCACCGTGCCCTCAGTGGCACTGCACCGTGCCCTCAGTGGCACTGCACCGTGCCCTCAGTGGCACTGCACCGTGCCCTCAGTGGCACTGCACCGTGCCCTCAGTGGCACTGCACCGTGCCCTCAGTGGCACTGCACCGTGCCCTCAGTGGCACTGCACCGTGCCCTCAGTGGCACTGCACCGTGCCCTCAGTGGCACTGCACCGTGCCCTCAGTGGCACTGCACCGTGCCCTCAGTGGCACTGCACCGTGCCCTCAGTGGCACTGCACCGTGCCCTCAGTGGCACTGCACCGTGCCCTCAGTGGCACTGCACCGTGCCCTCAGTGGCACTGCACCGTGCCCTCAGTGGCACTGCACCGTGCCCTCAGTGGCACTGCACCGTGCCCTCAGTGGCACTGCACCGTGCCCTCAGTGGCACTGCACCGTGCCCTCAGTGGCACTGCACCGTGCCCTCAGTGGCACTGCACCGTGCCCTCAGTGGCACTGCACCGTGCCCTCAGTGGCACTGCACCGTGCCCTCAGTGGCACTGCACCGTGCCCTCAGTGGCACTGCACCGTGCCCTCAGTGGCACTGCACCGTGCCCTCAGTGGCACTGCACCGTGCCCTCAGTGGCACTGCACCGTGCCCTCAGTGGCACTGCACCGTGCCCTCAGTGGCACTGCACCGTGCCCTCAGTGGCACTGCACCGTGCCCTCAGTGGCACTGCACCGTGCCCTCAGTGGCACTGCACCGTGCCCTCAGTGGCACTGCACCGTGCCCTCAGTGGCACTGCACCGTGCCCTCAGTGGCACTGCACCGTGCCCTCAGTGGCACTGCACCGTGCCCTCAGTGGCACTGCACCGTGCCCTCAGTGGCACTGCACCGTGCCCTCAGTGGCACTGCACCGTGCCCTCAGTGGCACTGCACCGTGCCCTCAGTGGCACTGCACCGTGCCCTCAGTGGCACTGCACCGTGCCCTCAGTGGCACTGCACCGTGCCCTCAGTGGCACTGCACCGTGCCCTCAGTGGCACTGCACCGTGCCCTCAGTGGCACTGCACCGTGCCCTCAGTGGCACTGCACCGTGCCCTCAGTGGCACTGNGTGATGGTGGTGGTGACGAGTGATGGTGGTGGTGACGAGTGATGGTGGTGGTGACGGGTAATGGTGGTGGTGGTTACCTCCAAGTATCGGCGCCCTCACGCCGATATTATATATAATATAAATAGGTATATTATATATAATTCTGATTATGTTATATAATGAGACAAGCTGCTAGCGTTTATGACTGCTCACACTCAGACAAATGTGTGAGACTTTTATCAGATTACAATGCACTTTTTATCATTACTTTAGTTATTCTGACCCACTTTGGCCGGGCAAGAAGGGCGGCGTTTCAGTGCTACGTTCTATCTCTGCTCGTACTGCGGATACAATAATAGCATGTCACAATTTGGACAAAATGACCCTCCATTTTTCTACGTGTAGAGCAGGCCTTGCAGATCATGCATTACCTGGAGACGTCGTGACGCACGCCCTTCCCCCCTCCGCCCCCCGTATGGACGTATTGATTGGGGGGGGGGGCATTAGTGTGAACCCCCTACCCCAAGGGGAGGTTTATAGTGCATGACTTCTTCAATGTCAATGAATTCCTGCGTGAATACCTGAATGATAGAGTGACGCGTCATCGATTGGTTTTATTTATCATCCAGGCTTTATCGGCGATGCGACAATACTTGTGCGATGATATCATCGTCACGGTGATGTCCGATATACACACACCTTTCGATACAAACACAAACTACACATCA